ACACTAAGTGGATATCTGCTATATGACTTCTACCTGCATTTTCATCCTTTCCCCTGAAAAATTGGTTCACTTGATAAAGTCAGATATTTTTCTGTATATTCAAGAAGGTTTTAGTTCTAACATACTACAATTTCATGACAATAGAGTGCAGAGCAACGGAATTACGACTTTTTGAATTTGATAAACACACTAAGTGGATATCTGCTATATGACTTCTACCTGCAATCTCATCCTTTCCCCTGAAACATTGGTTCACTTGATAAAGCCAAATATTTTTCTGTACATTCGAGAAGGTTTTAGTTCTAACATACTACAATTTCATGACAATAGAGTGCAGAGCAACGGAATTACGACTTTTTGAATTTGATAAACACACTAAGTGGATATCTGCTATATGACTTCTACCTGCATTTTCATCCTTTCCCCTGAAAAATTGGTTCACTTAATAAAGCCAAATATTTTGCTGTATATTCGAGAAAATGTTAGCTCTAACATACTTCAATTTCATGACAATAAAATACAGAGCAACGGAATTACGACTTTTTGAATTTAATAAACACACTAAGTGGATATCTGCTATATGACTTCTACCTGCATTTTCATCCTTTCCCCTGAAAAATTGGTTCACTTGATGAAGCCAAATATTTTGCTGTATATTCGAGAAAATGTTAGCTCTAACATACTTCAATTTCATGACAATAAAATACAGAGCAACGGAATTACGACTTTTTGAATTTAATAAACATACTAAGTGGATATCTGCTATATGACTTCTACCTGCATTTTCATCCTTTCCCCTGAAAAATTGGTTCACTTGATGAAGCCAAATATTTTTCTGTATATTCGAGAAGATTTTAGCTCTAACATACTACAATTTCATGACAATAGAGTGCAGAGCAACGGAATTACGACTTTTTGAATTTAATAAACACACTAAGTGGATATCTGCTATATGACTTCTACCTGCATTTTCATCCTTTCCCCTGAAAAATTGGTTCACTTAATAAAGCCAAATATTTTGCTGTATATTCGAGAAAATGTTAGCTCTAACATACTTCAATTTCATGACAATAAAATACAGAGCAACGGAATTACGACTTTTTGAATTTAATAAACACACTAAGTGGATATCTGCTATATGACTTCTACCTGCATTTTCATCCTTTCCCCTGAAAAATTGGTTCACTTGATGAAGCCAAATATTTTGCTGTATATTCGAGAAAATGTTAGCTTTAACATACTTCAATTTCATGACAATAAAATACAGAGCAACGGAATTACGACTTTTTGAATTTAATAAACACACTAAGTGGATATCTGCTATATGACTTCTACCTGCATTTTCATCCTTTCCCCTGAAAAATTGGTTCACTTGATGAAGCCAAATATTTTGCTGTATATTCGAGAAAATGTTAGCTCTAACATACTTCAATTTCATGACAATAAAATACAGAGCAACGGAATTACGACTTTTTGAATTTAATAAACACACTAAGTGGATATCTGCTATATGACTTCTACCTGCATTTTCATCCTTTCCCCTGAAAAATTGGTTCACTTGATGAAGCCAAATATTTTGCTGTATATTCGAGAAAATGTTAGCTCTAACATACTTCAATTTCATGACAATAAAGTACAGAGCAACGGAATTACGACTTTTTGAATTTAATAAACACACTAAGTGGATATCTGCTATATGACTTCTACCTGCATTTTCATCCTTTCCCCTGAAAAATTGGTTCACTTGATGAAGCCAAATATTTTTCTGTATATTCGAGAAGACTTTAGCTCTAACATACTTCAATTTCATGACAATAAAGTACAGAGCAACGGAATTACGACTGTTTGAATTTGATAAACACACTAAGTGGATATCTGCTATATGACTTCTACCTGCATTTTCATCCTTTCCCCTGAAAAATTGGTTCACTTAATAAAGCCAAATATTTTGCTGTATATTCGAGAAAATGTTAGCTCTAACATACTTCAATTTCATGACAATAAAATACAGAGCAACGGAATTACGACTTTTTGAATTTAATAAACACACTAAGTGGATATCTGCTATATGACTTCTACCTGCATTTTCATCCTTTCCCCTGAAAAATTGGTTCACTTGATGAAGCCAAATATTTTTCTGTATATTCGAGAAGACTTTAGCTCTAACATACTTCAATTTCATGACAATAAAGTACAGAGCAACGGAATTACGACTGTTTGAATTTGATAAACACACTAAGTGGATATCTGCTATATGACTTCTACCTGCATTTTCATCCTTTCCCCTGAAAAATTGGTTCACTTAATAAAGCCAAATATTTTGCTGTATATTCGAGAAAATGTTAGCTCTAACATACTTCAATTTCATGACAATAAAATACAGAGCAACGGAATTACGACTTTTTGAATTTAATAAACATACTAAGTGGATATCTGCTATATGACTTCTACCTGCATTTTCATCCTTTCCCCTGAAAAATTGGTTCACTTGATGAAGCCAAATATTTTTCTGTATATTCGAGAAAATGTTAGCTCTAACATACTTCAATTTCATGACAATAAAATACAGAGCAACGGAATTACGACTTTTTGAATTTAATAAACACACTAAGTGGATATCTGCTATATGACTTCTACCTGCATTTTCATCCTTTCCCCTGAAAAATTGGTTCACTTGATGAAGCCAAATATTTTTCTGTATATTCGAGAAGACTTTAGCTCTAACATACTTCAATTTCATGACAATAAAGTACAGAGCAACGGAATTACGACTTTTTGAATTTGATAAACACACTAAGTGGATATCTGCTATATGACTTCTACCTGCATTTTCATCCTTTCCCCTGAAAAATTGGTTCACTTGATGAAGCCAAATATTTTTCTGTATATTCGAGAAGATTTTAGCTCTAACATACTACAATTTCATGACAATAGAGTGCAGAGCAACGGAATTACGACTTTTTGAATTTAATAAACACACTAAGTGGATATCTGCTATATGACTTCTACCTGCATTTTCATTCTTTCCCCTGAAAAATTGGTTCACTTAATAAAGCCAAATATTTTTCTGTATATTCGAGAAAAATTGGTTCACTTAATAGCGCCGAATATTTTTTCGTATACTCAGGAAGCTTTTAGCTTTAACATACAACAATTTCATAATGAAAAAGCGTAGGACAAGAAAGTTACGATTTTTTGAATCTGCTGGAGACACTGATTATCTTTCTATGAAGCTTCTACCTCCATTTTCGACTTTTCTCCTGGATAATTGGTTAACTTAATAGAGTCGAATATTTTTTTATATATTCGGGAAGCTTTTAGCTCCAACATACTAAAATTTCATAATGAAAAAGCGCAGGACAACGAAGTTATGATTTTTTGAACCTGATGGATCTCTGCTATATGACTTCTACCTCCATTTTCGACCTCTCTCCTGAAACATTGATTCACTCAATAAAGCCGAATATTTTTCTCTATATTCTAGCTCTAACATACTACAATTTTATAATAATAGAGCCAAGCACAATTCAGTTACGATTTTTTGAATCTGATAGACACACTTAAGTAAATCTCTCTGCTATATGACTTTTACCTTCATTTTCGTTGGAAGTTGGAAAAAAGCGACAATATCACAGAAATGTAGGGCAAACACATTGAAGACAAAGAACTTTTAGAAGAATAAATCAGTACAATAGCTGAACAAGGAATGCTAAAATTGCAAGCAGCTGATGAAGCCATTTGGTTGAAACTACCAAGTATAATAAAGAAAAATTAGTTTTGTTAGAGAAAATATAAATGAATTGAAGAAAAAAAAAATGAAAGTTTTTAATATTCGCGGCGTAATAATTATATTGTTAAAATATTCATAAATGACCCATCCCAAATGAGCGAAAGTTGTTTTATATAGAAATGAAGTCGAAAATCACGCCGTAGGGGCAAAATCAATACAATGATCGTTCTAGTTATTCGAAGTCTCAGGTGATTCAGCGACAAGTGAATCTGCAAAATAGAGTAAATGTGGACCAAAATTTACAAACGTTAGCCTACAATTTAAAATTCAATTGCATATATGTGTATGTACCTAGATTCATGTGTTTGACACAGCAAATGTATAATTTTAAAATAATCTAGGCTATATTATTTACCATAGCCTAATAAAATTAAATTAGGTTTTTTTCTCATTGTTTTATCGTTAATTAGAAGCGATTCTCATAATTATTATTGTTATGTGCAACACAAAATACAACGTTAGATGGTTTATTGGGTTACTGAGTCAAGATAAAAATCAATTTTTAAGCTACTGCTGGGAATCAAAACGTACAAAAAGCCCCTTTAGAATTATTATTCTTCAAAAAAACTGGTCGCTTATGCTCAGTTGGACATTGAAATTACATGTAATTTCAGTGAGAATGGAAGCGTGACAAATAATTTATAATTATGTTACAAAATAAATGATATTTTCAAGAAGTTTGGAGTGGAATTTTTGTTAAAAACGTAGTAAAATTAAAGAAAACTGGCACAAACAATACAATAAAATTTAAAAAAAAAAAGCTCAAATAAACAGCATTGAGGTACTACAACAAGACAGAAAAAAGACAGAATTGAAATGTGATTTTGCAGATCAAGTGGATCATAGTTCGGGTGCAAAAACCCAAGGGCCTAAAGATGGAAAATGGAGCAAAGACAACCAATAAACAGAACCACAAATAACAAAATAAAGTAGAATAATAATTGTAATGATCTGATCAATCATAAATAAAATCAAAAAATTGCATTTTTCTTACTTCCTCATGGAAGTACCTGCATTAAAGTACCCCTATATTATACCAACCAGATCCAATATGATAATAACTAATGATACTTTTAAACTTCCGTATCTGAATATGTCATTGTCATTATTAGTACCTTAGTACCAAAAGTCTTATCCAACCAAAACGAGTCAGGTTGAACCTGAAATACTGCGCTTGACGAGAACTCGAGAGAGAATCCGAACCAACAAACGCGATTTTATTTTATTCAACAGAGTGACTAACGCCGGAGAACTCGAGGTTTCGTATACAGTCAATTTATTCCGGTGAAAAGCTCCGGAGCTTTTTGAAATTTCGCGCTCAAGTGAATTTGTTTATATGGACTTTGTTTTTTTTTTTAGGAATAGAAGTTTACTATAGAAGTAAGTGAATGTTTTTTGTTATAGTTTAAAACTGGAGTTAGTTTCGGAAAATATAGGGGGTTTTTCATCAAAAACTTTCCCCGAATGAAAAATTTTAATTACCAAAAAATAATTAGTGTTTGGACATTATATCTAGAGCATATATTTACCTGCTACCGTGTACTTTGCTACTACTTACCATTGCGAAACTAGTTTTGTTTCAAAATCGCTTTTTAAATGTTATGTTGGCATTGGACAAAAGCTTCAACAATTATAATTGTGGATGAGTTTTTATTTATTATATTAGCGGTTTTGGTTTAAATTTAGATTAACTTAAGCCCGTATTACATCTATGTATTTCTTCAGGGTGACAACCGAAAAACTTCAAACGCAACAAAATCAGCATTTGTATGTAATATGGGCTTTAGTATAGAAATAATCAAAAAAACTCCACACCCATTTCTACACAATTTTATCAAAGCAAATTGAATTGATGGATTGACCTAGACCTTTTCAGGCCCTAGACATATAACATAAATCTTTGACGTCAAAATCTATAATATTTCTTATGAATTACTTGGAATTTTCCTGTCAGCACTAAAAAAACATTCCACCAATGGAAATTACATGCGTCGTTAAATATTTGTTTTTCATAAATAATAATAAAAATTGTTACGATTTTAACGTGACGTAGATATATTATGTATATTATCCACTATAATAAATCAATGATTCACTTCATCATTGATCATCTTGTTGGCGATTAAAGTTAATCAATTCATCATATTGAATTATTGGAATCAAAACTAATAATAATTCTGAGAGTTGATTTGCTGATGAGTTTTCAGTTGATTCGCCGAGGAGTTCTGAATAATTGATTGATTGATCAGCTGATAGAGATTTTGATCCCTAAGCTCAGACTTGTTTTGATGCTCTGTCTCGTCCTTATTAATTATTTTTAAAATATTTAATATCCATCATGGCAATTGAGGAAACTTTGAGAGTTTCACCTTTAGCCAACGAAATGGGGAAGAAGTAAGGGAAATGTTTAGGAAACTTCTCCTATATGGAGAAACTTCCACAGTTATAAAAATCTACAGAGGAGGTTTTATGTTTGAACTGAACTACTAACAGGTGCATTGAAAATTATCAAGAATTTACCTCATGTATGTAAAATTTTGAAAGGTCATAATTTTTTATCTATTAGAGATAGAAAACTGAAATTTTCAGCTATTCTTATTCCAGTAGAGGACTACAATCCCTGGAAAATTTCAACTTTTTTGGGCTTATATTTCCCGAGATAAAATCGCGTTAAGCGCCTTTTTTCATAGATTTCGGCTTCAAATCTGAGAATAGTTTAGTGTATGGAGTTTGTGAGATCCCAAATGACCATTAGGACACAAAATCTCAACAAAAAAAAATTTGAAATTTCATCCATTTAGTAAGAAGGTAGGTACCAGTGGCGGGAGAGGTTAAACTTCCCCTAAAAAATTGAAAATTCAATCTCAATTTTTTATTCCTGATTTCTAATTAAAATAATAATTAACAAATTACACTTTCCAATTTTCGATATTTCAATGTAATTTAGAAAAATCTGACAACATTATTTCAATCAATCCCGCGCCTCCACGACAAATATCTGTGAATCTGGAATACTCAGTAATACCGGCCCGAAGGGCCGGAGTTATATGCGAGCCCGAAGGGCCGGAGTTATACGCGAGCCCGAAGAGCTAGAGTTATTTTAATCACGGGGCCTAGTTTATAATTCTATTGGTCAGCGGATAATTTAGAGCATAAATCTCATCCTGAAACCCACTAAAAAACGACCTTTGTTTTTTGGAAAAAACAAAATAATTTTTTTTTTTGAGATTGACAGCTGTCAAAATTTTAATGAACATATAACCCGTTCATTGTCAACTGATTTTAATACTTCGGCTCTTACTTTAAAATTCCCAAATATCCTTTGGAATCCCCAAAAATCTATTAAAATCTCAGAATTCCATAATTTAGTGGAATTTCGGTAGAATAATTATGTTATTCTGAAAAAGGAATTAGATGTGAAATTTTTGCGGAGTTTCCATAGAATTCACAGTAAATTTTAATTCCTCTCGAATTACTTGAAATTTCAGTGAAATTCCGATCGAATTACACAAAATCCTAAATGAATTATATGGAGGAATTTTAAACAATTACATGAAATTACACCGAAATTCCCAACATAAAATTTCAGTTTTTACTGAATTTTAGTAATGCCGAGGAATTTCCAACTAAAAACATGGAATTTCGATATTCCGAAAAATTACCATGTGATAACATGAAATTTCAATATATTTCGATGAATTTTTAAGAAATTACTTGAAACTTCAGTAATATTCCCAGAAATTCCTGGCTATTTAAAGAGAATTTCAGTGAAATTCCGAAAAATTCTTATGAAAATAAATTAAATTTTGAAAATTCCTTGAAGTTTCATTGGACTTTCGAGAAATTTTCGGTTATGAACGTGGATATTCTCATAAAATTTTAGTGAATTCCGAGAAATTTTTAAGAAATTACATGAAATGTCAATGAAATTCCAAAGAATTTTATGAAAATTTTGTGGAATTTCAGGATATTTCAGTGGTAAAATTTTGAGGAATTTTAGTAAAGTTGAAAAAAAAATATGGAATTTTGAAATTGAAATCTTAGTGGAATTCCTTCATGAAATCCTATACTGTAATTAGCTTCCTCACTTGAAATAGTCACGAGCCGTCACTGGTAGGTACCTACCTACCTTATGATTTAGATTTTGGAAAACTTTGGTAGGTCATATTTTTTTTCTATCAAAGATATAAAGCTGAAATTTTCAGCGATTCTCATTCCAGTAGAGGACTACAATCCCTGAAAATTTCAACTCATTTGGGCGTATAGTTCCTGAGATTAAATCGTGTTAAGCAATTTGGGGTGATTTATCAATTTTTCTGAGTGCCTTTTTTATAGAATCCGGTTTCAAATCTGAGAATAATTTAGTATATGGAGTTTGGGGCGTCCCGAATGATAATTTAGATACCAAATCCCAACATAAAAAAAAATTGAAATTTTATTATTTTAATAGTAATCTATACATTATACATATACCTACTAAGTACAAATTTCCAAAGAATCGGGGTTTACGCTGAATTGATATGGTGGAAAACTAAACAACCTCTAAAATCCCAATAATTCCTGGAATTTTCGTAATTACAAAATGTTGAAAAATACAGGAAGCTGCCTCAAAAAATTCTTACTCGAAAACACTTATTAACTAAGTGAATCAGCCATTATCTCCCAACTTAAATTATTCATTTATTTTGCATAGCAATTCTGTTATTCTGTTTCCCATTCCCGAGAAAGCCTTTTTTTTCTTCGCTCTGCCTATGGCTCACGTTGCATTATAGAAAATGACATGCCTCTGACATGTGCGCATTTCCAATTAATGCATTCCGTTTCGTAAGCATTTTTTTACTATAAAATCCCAAGAGAATAAAAATCTGTTTTACATATTATATGCAAAAGATTTATGCAACTTGCGTATTGAATTATAGTAGTTTTGGTACGTAATTATCAATTAATCAAAATTGCTCAAACATAAAATCTTTGTCTTGTTGGAGTTTTTAGTACCTACCAGTATTCTATACCTATTTCAAGTAGATATAAGTTTTGGTACTCCTTATCATTCTACAAGCTATAATAGAGGCTTGAAGTGATACTGAAAATAAATGTGTGAAATTCAAGATTTCTAGCGTCAATTTCTCTTGGTACTGCTTCTATCCATAAATTCTTTCTCTGTCAAATCTTCTACTATTTGGGGTATAGTTTCAACATAATCGAAAATCATCTACATTTCAAATTCACTGTATCAGGTTGGTGATCGTTTATATCTCAATTCTTTTATTTCTTGTATGTTTGTTACCTTCTTCACTAATTTCCATAATAACTCTTTTATTTTTATTTCATTAGTCATCCCTATTCCATTTTTATTATCAAATTAAATGATGTTACTCATTATGGACCAAGCTGGACCTATCAATTTCTACCATTTTAATTTTTGATATGGGGATTCAATTTGACTCAAATCTTCTCTCAATTCAATGAACCTCAGTTTATATTTTCTTTGTTATTTCTGTATGCATCTGCATCTCCACTATAGTTGGTTTGTGGACAATTTTTCTCGGTTTTGATAATTGCCTTGCTTTTTCCTTATTTCAAATGGAAATTTGAACAATCAGGTATATACCCAAACTTTAAGAGTTTAGTTTCAAATGCATAATGCTCATTACATATTGGGTTTTAGGGAAAAAATACGAAATTGTATACTCCAATAAAAAGCAGGGAATAATCAAATATTCATGTTAAAAGTGTAAAGCATTTTATTTATTAGCTAAGATGCCTCAAAGTTTTAACTATTCCCGGCTCTTGATTGGCTTCAAATGTCGCCATTTTGTATCTCATACAAAATGGCGTCTTCACCGTTCAAGAGCCGAGAATAATAGATACAATAATAACAATTGTTTATATACCAAACCACGTCTGGAAAAAAATATGTTGGATGTGCGGAAATCCGATCCAGTTGTTGGTTGAAGATGCCGCCTTCACTTGCCTGATACAATGAAAATCATTATAAATTGTAATTTCCATCTCTATGATAAATATTAAAAAAAAAACAAATATTTAATTTTTTCGTACTACTGACCTCAAAATCTTGCTTGCCCCAAGACAAAACAAAGAAAGTAATAATTTCTCTGGTGCGTTTTGCTTGTCCTCTTCTCTTCTTGTGTGTCTGGTGCAACTTGAAGTATTTCCTTTTTCAATTTGTCAGCGCATGTGTGTGATTCACTCTTTTTTCAAGATTTCATTTAATTTAATCAAAACTACTCTAGTTATAGATAATTATTGCTAGAAATGATCAGTCACACTTTACGGTTTAAAATAAAAAAATGAAAGTTGAAATTATTAAAAATTGATTTATGAATGTCATATCGTTTTTGATGAGGTAATAGAGAAGG